GGAGGACATCCTTCCACTACTTTGTTTTTATTGGTGAACAACACAAGACACCATGGTCCCCATGATTTTTGGTCATTCAGACAACCCATAATAAAATCCCTTAGTGAGCAGAGCTGTTTACAGGAGAATCATGGTATCCCCACACCCCCTGTGAGTCCTGACAGGAAAACCAATATCTGTAGTAGCAGCCTGGAAGGAAGAAGCTGCTGGTATTCATAATCCTTACTTTGAGATAGGGGGTGCCTGGCTCCATTATCCATTTTCACAATTTTCTGGGCATTGAATAACAAGGTGTAGAATCACAAACTGCCTTAAAATTATTTTTTATTTAATTTTTAAAAAGAAAGGGGGCAGTCAGGTTGACAGTATCCTGACTATGGCACCATCTTATCTAAAAGCCACCGGACATCCCACCTTAATTACTTGTTTGAACTAATAATCTTCTTGGTTGAATGAGAAGAATGTTTTTCATGTCTTTAACCACTAGAAATTTAAATGGACCCCTGGGCACTTAGTTTCACACCACTGCATTGCCTCAGCAATGTTTTCACTCACTATGATTATCAAGTCCTTTTGGTATATTTTCTTTTTTTATATTTTCTTTATTTTCCCTAAAGACAGTCTGGAAAATTGTTTTTTTTTTTGTTTTTTGCTCACAAATACATATTTGCACACTTAAACCCAAAGGACCAAATGGTTTAATGTAATGGTGGGGTTTTTTTTTTGGGGGGGGGCAGATTTTTCTTGATATTTGATTTTAAATATGGATGCTTTTTTGCACAAATCAGTATAATACTCAAACAATGAAATTGACATTTCAAATGATGTGTAGGGTATGTACTGTACATTCCTAGTAATGCATAATTACTAAAAAGGACTCTAAAAAGTTAACTGTGTTTACTCATGATATCCAGCTGTGCCTGCTATATCTTTGCCTATAACATTTTAAATTTTTAATTCCAAATGTACTGCACTTCTAAGACAGTAAAGCAGACTGCAGGCAGTTTAGTGCCTCATTCCACCTCATTCTTTATCCACTTCTCTTGGTTACTACTGTAACCCCTGAACTACAGAGCTCTGAGTGGCTCACTGGCTTAGACAACTTCACGTTGCCTAAACTCACCAGATTGGAGGAAGGGCTCCTGTGGCTTAAGGATACCACCCAAAACTTTCCTTTTTGCTGGAGGTCAAATGCAAATCATGTACAAAATATTCAAAAAAGATCCCACTGAATATAGCCTAAAAAACACTATTTAAAACTACATTTTGAGATTTCAAGGTACTTGCAAAATGTTATGAGTACCACAAACGCCCCATCTGGATAAGTCTAATTAAACACAAAAATCTAATTAAACAAATAATTAGTTTGCTTAAGTGATTGAATATTGGGAGATCTTGAGGTCTTGAGGAGGTCCGAACTTTGAAAAGGGACATACTGTATTTAATTTAACAAACATCTCTGGGGAAAAAAAACATCTATATGAAATATGAATCAATTCCATTTCCATATTCTGTCCCTACATACTTTATGAAATCATGCCTCCCTGCCAGAAGTGGTTCAAGTGCTATACATTCTTCATAATATATTGATATCTCTGATTCACAGCCTAAGAAAATCAAATGTCCGTCTCCTTGGCTACCGAATGGAGACAGAGAAACAATGGAAATGCCATTTGGAGCTAATTGTGTTGCCAGAGCTTGAAGGGGAGGGATGGCTTAGAATAGGCTCTGAGTGAGTCAGGCAGCACTGTGAAAGTCAAGTGGAGACAGCTGTGGAAGGGACTGTAATCAAAGCTTATGGAACTGAGAGAGAGATATGATTGCTCTGCTCCTGACAATGTAAAGACTACCATAGGGCATGCTTTATGTTAGCACAGAATGCCAGTACAACTTGAGTATATCAGGATTAAAACCCTCTGTTTTCATTTTGTTTTATTTTTTACCAGTCTACTTGCGATTAAAGCCTTACTCAACTACCATTAACGCATCTACATTCACTGCATAACAAAGCAACTTCTATTAGAAGCAACAGTGGTTACAGCATTTTTATGACAAGTGAAACAAAATCTATATTCCTCTACACCTGCTTGATTCTAATTTATGAATTATATTAAGCATGTTAAAACATAAAGAAATGAAAGCAATTTAAAAATGGGTGTATCTGATTAGAATAGTTACATTTCACAAATAGTTGTATAATTGCCTACTGGTGCCTAAATTGAAAGACAAATGCTCTCAACTACAATTAGCTTTATTGCGTGTTTTAACAGAGAATCTGTCAGTCTGGGAACATGTTATTTAGAATGTGTGACTTTTTAATCTTAAAGATGTACCATCAGTGTCCGAGCAGAACCTTTGTAGCCACAGCCTCCACTACCCTCTCCTTAAACATGCACAACTTCACAACAGGCTATAAATCAGGCTAATCATCACATAATAAATTAAATGCAAAGATCCCCCATTATGAAGCATTTGGGTGATATTTGTGTGTACAGTAGCTTTCCTACAAAATGTACTTCTGGAGAATGTTGACTTTTCTATCATGAGCACAGAAATGAAGAGTTGTGAATAAAGAATAAACAGACTATTCTGCACCTTCACACAGTACTAAATACACAAGAAGTCCTTGTCTTGTCATTGCATCGTCAAAATAGGTGAACCCTATGGGAACTTCACAAGGATTAAGATACTGTACATACTTTACACTGCCTTGTAACCGTAGTCAGACCCTTGCACGTTTTTTATATTTTGTTGCTCAAAAACTTGCAGTCATGGCAATATGAAGTAACAATTAATATTTGCTATATACACAAAGTACTCCACACATTCAAAGCAAAAAACAAAATGAAGCAAATAGTATTAGTACTCAAACCCTCTGCTGTGGATAAAATTGTATAAAGGCACAGATCAGTTAAAGAGCATAATATATTTCAAAGATCCTTAACACCTCTTTAAGGAAGTTGAGGTTATTCGTTAAAAAGCAGAAGACACTAGTAGTAAAAATAAATATTATATATACATT